GTATCACTACCTCACTGCGCAACATTTGGACGAAAGAGTGCATTCCTTCATTGTTCGTTCCCATTTTCAAAAAAGGATCTCGCAACGATTGATAAAACCACCGCGGGATAAGTTTGATCCCGATCGTCACCGAAGTCGGTCATACTTTCATGTCTGACTCCTTTAAAAGAGATTGACATCCGTGAACAGCGAACCGGATTCCGGCCTGGCCATGGATGTACTGATCAAATTTTTACATTGCGGCAGGTCATTGAGCTGCGTCACACCCACCGCCGACAAAGATCGCAGTGTTCCTTGACCTGAAAGGAGCCTTCGACTCAGTTGATCGCGAAGCTCTGATGGGCTTCCTTCTTCGAAAAGGAATGCTCCAGAATTACGTTAACTTACTGGGGTCACTGTATTCGCATNCGTCAAGGATGCCCCCTCTCGCCGTTCCCGTTCAATTTCGTCATAGACGAAATACTGGAGAACGCACTAAGTGGTCTCCAAAACGCAAGTATTGAATGGGCAGATGGGGAGATGTGCGATTTAGAATAAGCCGATGACGTTGTCTGTCTGTTCGAATGTATGGAGGACGCGCAAAGCGCACTTGATAGATTAACAAATGCAGTTGCCACATTCGGTATGTGCTTTGCACTTTCAAAGTGCAAAGTGATGCTACAGGACTGGGTTTCACCTACTCCCGCTCTAAAACCAAATGGTCAGGAATTAGTTACAGTGGATTGCTTTTCCTACTTAGGTAGTTGCGTGACCAATGACGGTAGCGCAACAAAGGAGATAACCGCCCACAATTCCAAGGCTCGAGCAGCATATGCAGGACTGAAACACCTGCGGTGTAGATGCGACGTTTCACTGAAGTTGAAACCCCGCGTATATAGTGTCACCGTTCGTGCAGTTCTGATGTATGATTGTGAGACCTTAAATTTGAGAGTAGAAGATATCCGTCGACCATCGGTGCTTACACAGTTTCGCCCAAATGGGATGAAGTGAGCGGGTTAGTAACCTAGAAAAAGTCGTCGTGTATTTGGGAGTTTATCAGGGATAAACCGGAATTCAGATTAGTAGGCTTCTCTGGCTAGGCCACATATTGTGTATGCCCAGCCAGCGTCTGCTGCGCCGCGCTTTATCCGCTGTAGTTAATCCGGACTGGGGGTCAACAGATGACGTGGAGACGAGGCATAAAGAAATGCACTGAGCTATTAGGTACAGTAGGTGTCTCATGCTTTCCAGGTTGGGGTCCGAAAGACTCCACAACCAGTTGGTTGGAGACATTGAAGGATATGGCAGCGAACCGACAGCAATGGCATTCTTGTTGTCATTTCTTATAAGGCCAGAACGCTTGAAACGGTATGTATGTAAGGTTCGATTGTGCACTCTGTGTGTTGGCCAAAGTGGTTCACCTTCATCTCCCTCCCTCAAAGTCGGCCCAATCCCTGTCCACCTCAAATTTTACCACTAATCTTGTGTGCATTGCAGGTTTGGCAGCGATCGGTGAAGTTCGCTTCCCTGTATTGTGCTGTACGATAACGATGAGAATGAACATGCTTGATGTGAAGGTTCGACCTAGAGAGATCTACGCTATCANCTTTGTCATAGATATTATTGTACCGTGGCTTATCTGGCACACTGTTTAGATTCAGATGCGTGTGAAATATCATAATGATGACAACAATATCCGACCACCATATGGATCGATTATTCATGCTAAGGTCTCGATGTGTGTTTCATCGTTCAGCAGTATCTAACAAATTAAGATGCATATCTTCGGTGGCACGAACCATATAATTAATGTGGTTTAGTTAAATATTCAATGTGATGAACGGTAAGCCTGCGTTTTGGCCCATAAAACCACTTACGAGAAAAACTTATTACAGCTAGGTGAAAGCATTGAAAATTGTGTGAAAAACAATGTGCAACCCAGAATAACACTGCGAACGAAACCGGAATGCGAAAAGAAAGGAGGTAGAGATGTTTTTCGTGTTTCATTGTCTACATTTCCTTTGTTTGTCGGAAACGAATAAACTCTGGCTTTGGGGTGCAGTTGTACACAATGCACATTAGGGCTACCAGCCGTCAACTCTCGCGATCTTCAACGTTCTAACCTGGTCACCGAGAACAGCAAACGTGCGGCAATCATTGCGTTAGTTTCACTCATCCCTCGGTTCGAAGTTACTGCTTGGTCGCCACATTCTTTCTTCCAGTCAGAACGGTAGGAGAAGGGCAAGCATTATTGATACGTGATTGATTTAGGTTGAATGCGGATACAGGCTCCCGCTATCCTATTGAAGCAACTTATACTTTGCGGATGTTAGGTACGTCCCGTATTGTATCACTTCCATCATTATGCACTTCAAATGGTAAACCGCTTGGGTGTTAGCAGCGAGCGAGATGATGTCGGTTTAACGAAGATCTCCCGAAGGGCTTGGATACTACCGCTTACAACTGATTTATCAACCGAACTGAAGTACGTTACTGTAAAGTTGAAAATAGCGCAATTAACTAAATGAAAGACCAGATGACAAATCATGATTCAAACGCCCTAATCGAAAAGAAATATCGGGGCAGATGAGTTAAAACGATACAAGCCAAATGGCAGAATATGCAAACGAATTATAAAATAAATAAAAATTAAAAAACAGAAGTAAATCTATGACGTTACTCATCAGTTAAAAAAAGATTAGTATAAGGCTCGTTTAGTGTAGTCCGTGGGTGATAAAAAGAAAATGGTAAGACCAAAGAAGAATCTATTGCTGCGCCCACGTTTTTGATTGTAGGTTTCCAGTTCTTATTTCTGGTTCATTAGGAGATTCTGCTGGATCAGAGATGAATGTACGTGATACGAAAGCACAGGGCCTGGCGTCAAGTGAAGGGATTCTGCAAGAGTTTGACAAAACGGGCATTCGATTTTATGCATTCTTTAAGTTTAAGGTGTTGTAAATGCAGAACTGGATATCATTGATCGCTGCGAGTAAGCATCCAAAGTGTGAATCGATTAATTTTTAGGCTGTTGTCGACCACCATCCGGTATTTCTGGCATTCATTGATAGTAATGAGGATCCGGGACCGTCAAGATGATCGAGAAGATTCGATAGAATGAAGATCTCTGATCGAATAAAAACTTCAACCTTATAGCTGCATATTCTTGATTTTATGCAAATAGGCCGATAACAGGGATACAGATGAGGGAAAAGGGAAGGAGCTGGGAGGCTAGTAACAGAGATTGCAAAGCTACAACGGTGGTTGAATTCAGTGGAAGAGTGCCTCTATTAATGTCCAACGTTGTAAAGAGTAGTGCCTCTGCAATAATTTGCAACAGTTCGTACCAAGTACCTTTGTGTAGTAGAGGGGTGGGACAGAGTTTTTTGGCACTGCTTCTCATACAAGTAGAAGCCAGGACTATGTTAACCTTTTGCTCCGAAACTCAATCTCGTCGAACAAACAAATTTCAAAGTCAATATTTTATTATATGCATTTCTTACAAGCTCATGATTTTCTTGTCTCCATGGACTATTTAGGAAATTGAATCGTTTCTTGGCAAAAAATAAAATGTCACATGTATTTCCTGCTAGGAGGTAACACAATGTAGTCTTCAACTAATTTACGTTTTTAGTTTTGTGGGAATGAGATGTACTAAGGTTTAGTTAGCATCATCAACAGTTAGCGCACAAACGCCGTGAGATGGAAGGGTGTTTAAACTGTCGCACACTATTTCTGCAAAAGATTGACGCCCACATTCCAGTTGACACTTTGGAATCAGCAACTTGAAATGATGTCCCCTAAGGTGTATGTTAGGTGATAACTTGAGTAGCGACCGACAGGGATAGTGCGGGTTATGCAGTATTTGATACGTTTAAACCAAGTCTCCTAGAATTCGGTGGTATTAAGCAGAATACAGTCCCAATGATCCCCATAGGTGAGGCAGTTTAATCCTTCATCACCTTGGTGACGAACCTTTGCGGAAGCTCCAGCATCTTACAACCATGTTGCACCCATGGACTCCAAGCTTGGATGGCGTACGGTCGAATGTACACTGATAGCGAACGTGGGAAAAACGCTGATTCAACTTGACCGAAGACTCGTCTAAACAAGCCGACATTCTACACAGTAGCGGATGAAGCCCAGGCACAATTGACCGAGCAGCTTAAGTCCTGTTGGACAATTGTACGTAAGTCCTTCTCAATTGAGGTATGTGACGGCTGGTGATTTCCGAAGAAATACGACGATGTACTCCTGCGACGTACGAATAGGATTTTACATCTAGAAACATTGAATTCAATGTAGTGTTCTGTTTACCAGGGCTTGTAGTGCTACTCTGGTGACTGGCACATCAGTTGCGATGCGGGAAACAGAGAATGCTGAGGTAGTCGCGATCCGCTTTATATTCAATGAAGCCCTTCGGAAATGGCTCCATTGGGCGGGGGGGGAATGCAAACTGCATTTTGCGCATGACATTCTGACGAGGACGACCACAACCACAAATGAAACAGCTTTTTCGGGAATCAGTAATTATTTCCCAGAGCTTTTAATCACGTACCTGATCGAGGAAGCTCGAGTTATCTAACGCAACGGAAATGCAGATTGAAACAGTGATTTGAGCAAATGTTTATCACTACTATTGACCCGGAGCTTCAGCTCAGTTTTATGGGGTACTCACACCAAGCGTTCTGTTTTCGAGAAGTCACCAATGAATAGGGTTTGGAAAAAGCCCACCGATGAACGCGTAGAGGAGGGTGTAACCTTTGTTTTGTTTCTCTCTAACACTGAAATCGCAGTCTCTAGCAAACTTATCAAGCTTCAACAAGGACTTATCTATGATTTCAAGAATGTTCTGCGTCGATGTTGCCAGGAGGTAGTGCGCAAAAAATTTCGTTTTGGATTTGTGTGCACATGGAATGAAGGTTGATGATGGCAGAATTATAATCAGTAAACCGAAAAAAGAATATTTACACAGCAGGAGACAAAATACGAATGAGGGTTTTGAGTTCGGTTTGTGTTCTGCCAAATCCAAAACGTTCGTAAAAGTATAACACCATTGCTACCAGGAGTCAGTGATATTGGCGAAATTTGGATGAGTGTCAAGGCGGTGGGAGCCGGGTGGTAAGGGTCATCAAATTATCGCTGCAGAGGAAGTTGGTTCGACTACTACCACCACCGCCCAACTTTCCCACTCTCCTTCTTGTATAGGAAGCAACCCTTTGATTGTCCGCTCTCCCGTTTCTGAAAATTGGATCATTATTTATTCAATAAAAGGAAGTAGACTTGGATCTGTTGGCTAAAGATAGTAGGATTAGTTGATTAACAAGCCAAGAGACAATGTCTGATTGACAGGCATTAAACGACCAAAAGATGAGGCATATGACATGAGGTGCTAAAAGAAGAAACCAAAGTATGCAAACGAAATAAGAGTGAATTATGAAACAGAGATACAGTAGAAAATCCGTTAAGTGATAGAGGAATGGTGAAATAGAACAGTTTTGTCAAACTCCATAAGAGACAACAGAGGCAAAAGCTTGACTTAAGCCCTTAGTTGCCCTGAGGAACGAGGGTACAGTAAATTTTTGATTGACACGTTTTTCTCAGGTACGCCATTCATCAAGCAACGGCGAAGATAGATTGTGAACTACATAACTGGGATAGTATAGATGTAACAGCGCTAACCAAAGATCAGATTTTAACACGTTTCCAAGTGGTCCTATATTGACATTTGTACGACCTTTCCAACTCGATTGGAGCAAATATAAACTATTTCACATAGGATTAAGGATATCAGTCACGCGTTCAACTTCATTCCAACGTTAAAATCAGCATACCTTTAGTTTGGCTTCTTTGGTGTTCTTCTCAAGTTCGATACTCTTGTTCGTACGCAGAAGTTCACGATATTCATTTTGCAGTACATGTAATCCAAGGTTTCGTTCTTCTTCTTTCGCTCGTAACTTTTCGTTTTCTTCCGAGAGACGGGTAGCGTGTTGGGCTACTTCTTCAAGTTTTTTTTCGCTAGCCTGTGAGGACCAAAATAAACGAGAGAATGCGGATTCAGTTTCATGAGCAATTAGCGAAACGGTACTAGCGAAGTAACTAGGTCAACGCTTCTAAGCAACGTCATAGAAAATTGGTGCCGATCTCGTGCTATGCGACCGAAGATCTCTCCCCGGATGAACCGACTACAGACCCGTGATCATGCATGACGTTGCCGATCGAACATAACTTTGAATAACAAGGATTCAACAGATTATTTATTAATCGAGCATGAGAATGCTCTCAGGGGTATAAAACGACAGAGAAGCTTACAAAGTCGTTACTTAAAGAAAAGGGTGAAAGAATAGCCGAGTGCAGATAACAAAATATAACAGAAATTCTGTTTTCTGATTATTTAACAAACTGAAGGGCGAGCGATGCAATTTTGAATTATCATCTCAATAGTTTGTCAACTTATTTTCACTAGCCACACTGCCCTTGCAATCAGAATGGCTCTACGAGAAGTGAAACGTTTTCGATTGATAAAGCTCATAATAGGTGGATTAAAATTTTCAAATAGTTGTTTGGCAGATTTGAAGTTTCTATGTCGATTGTGAAAAGTCCAGTAGCTACTGAACTTTTCACAATCGACATAGAAACTTCAAACCTGCCAAACAACTTTTTGAACAATTAACCTTGCCTTAGAAGCTCATTCGGTGGAGTCCGGTGAATTCTAAGGAAAACCTATCGAGGCAGTCAGCTTACATGCTAACTGCTGGATACCACATGCCTCTGTAAGTTGGATGGATTAAAATTTGTTTCGTTACAAACATGTAGCAATCACGGAAAGAAATTAAGCAACTACGGTATTTTCAACCGCTGCTTCAATGAACAAAACATTTTCGACTGCTGGAGACCTGTGCACATTACACCAGTCCCCAAAAAAGAAGCTGGGAAGCTAAGACTAATCTATTTTATTAAACATTTGCGAAAAGTTTATGCTCAGTAACGTTATTCCCAATACTGGGCAGCTAGATGAAAACCAATTAGCTTATCGCAAACAACGTTCTACCGTAGATGCTCTCGCTCATTTGGTAAACTCAGTTTTGCGATCACTAGACATGCACGG